TCAAATTAGCGGAGAAAGTATCTGCTTTGGACATCAAAAAAACAGGCACCCTCCCCTCACGCTGCACTCCCTGCCCAAGAAGAACATACTTCCTGTGAAAGAATTGAATATTTCCAAAAAGGCAGTAGACATCATGGAAAAAACTATTGGGGGAAAAAAAAAATCATCAGAATTTTGTTGGATCATCCTCTACTTATTTTTTTTCCATTTTTAAATTTTTTTTTTTTTTTTTTTTTTTAGGCAGTAGACATCATGGAAAAAACTATTGGGGGAAAAAAAAAATCATCAGAATTTTGTTGGATCATCCTCTACTTATTTTTTTTCCATTTTTAAATTTTTTTTTTTTTTTTGTCTTTTTCCGTGTCTGGCAACGGATCACAACCCTCAGTGTCGCCCCCGTACCGGACCGGGACCGGCAATGGGATCGCAACCCTTGGTGTTGCTCCCGCGCCTCGCTCAGCCAGTGAGCGGGAACCGGTCTGCATGTGGGATCCGAACCTTCAGCGGGAGCGCCACCGCGCTTCCCAAGCAGCGCACTATAGCAGTGCGCCACCGGGCCGGCCCACCATTTTTAAATTTTTAAAAATACACACAACACAATTTACCATCTTAGCCATTTTTAAGTGTACAATTCAGTGGCAGATTTAGCCACAGGCCTGAGTTTACTTGGAACAAAAGCATTATAAAAACAAGGTCTGGGGCTCTAATCAGGGAGTCATTGATCTAAATGTTTGGATATACTGGGTGCGGGGGAAGTTCAAGCATTTCTACACAGAAACACATGGAAAATTTCCCAGGAATAAACTATTATTTCTTGGCATTCCAAAAGTATGTAGTGTGCAAGCTCTGCTCTGGGAGCTGGGAGATATTGCTTGAACCAGATGACCTCCAGATGCTAGAAAAGCGATTCCCGGATACTTCCACGTTAAAAGTCAAGCATACTGGGCCAAAGGAGATCTAAAGTGCCCTGGCTTCCAACTTCAGGGAATTGAACTTTTTCTTCTGACTTTCCAGCAGAAAGGAAAGAAATGTTGACCCTAGAATCACATGAAGCTAAAGCTAGAAGACACTGTAGAAGGTGACCAGATCTCCACAGTTTTATTCTGTATTGGCTTTTTATTTACACACTTGTCATTATTTTCATTAATGCAGTAGAGTATAGACTGTCTGGATCCAAATCTTGGCTCTACCACTTATTGGGTGTGAGACAGTGATTAAATTACTAAACCTCTTTTAATTTTTAAAATCCGTGCTTCAGATTACAGATTAAAAAAAATCTGTAAAATGGTGATAATAATACTGTCTCAGAGGATTGCATTAAGGATTAATAGTGTTGATGCATATAAAGAACTAAGAACAGTGCCTGGAAGATATTAATTCCTATATAAATGTTTGCTATTATTAATGCATTTGAACATTTTTCTTCTCCTTCTCATATCCCCATCTCCTTCTCATCTCCCTCCTCCGTCTCCCTTTCTTTTCCCCTTCCTTCTCCTTATTCTTGTTCAGTTGGCAAATAGTCAAATTCCATTTAGAATGTCGTCCTACAGTTTTATTCTGCCTCATGGATGTTTCTGGGGGGTAATTTCTACAGGTGATGTATCTCCTTCTCATCTCCCTCCTCCGTCTCCCTTTCTTTTCCCCTTCCTTCTCCTTATTCTTGTTCAGTTGGCAAATAGTCAAATTCCATTTAGAATGTCGTCCTACAGTTTTATTCTGCCTCATGGATGTTTCTGGGGGGTAATTTCTACAGGTGATGTGTGTTGAATTCTATTTTCTGATTTTTCACAGTAACTCTGCATGGATCTGTTCCTTGTGCTAAGAGGTAGTCTCACTGTCTCATTTTTCAGATATGAAAACTGAGGCCCCCCAAATGAGAGTGATTTGCCCAAGATCATACAGAAACAGTGGCTAAACCAGTAAAAGAACCAAGATCTAGGGTTCAGATCCCTGTACTGGCCAGCCACCAAAAAAATAAAAAACCAAGGTCTTCTGACTACCAGTCTAAGGCTTGCTCCACTCGGCAGAGTCCAAAGACATTGACTTTGGGTACTGATATGATCTGAGTGCCCTCTAAACTCTATTCACAGGAAGACTCAAATATTCTCTGACCCCAAGTATTCTCCAATAGACATCTCTCCTAACAACACTGCATGCACTTCAAGGCAAATGTCTGTGGCTTGATTATTTTGGAATCTCACTTGTGTGCCCAGCACTGTGCCTCAAATTCTTGAGGGTAGATTATTGCCTATAACACCTTAGATTACTAGAGGCAGATGCTCAGTAAATGGAACTAATAAATAACCGTCCCCCACCCCCTTTATAAAAAAGAGTAGTTTAGGCAGGAAAGAGAACCAATATTTATCAAAAACTTAATATGTACAAATCACTGTGCTGAGAATTTTCGCCTGTTATCCCATTTAATCCCCAGAAATCTTTTACAATATGATCAATTGCTGCATTTCGAATCAGGAAATTAAGGCCCAGAGAGGTTAGGCATCTTACCCTGAGTCTTTTCACAAGTAAATGTTCAAATTTGACACTTCCCTGGTGGTCTGAAATCTTCTAGAATCCAATATCATAAATAGAGAGAGGTGAAGCTGGGAAAGAAGAGTCTTAATGCTTTCCAGAGGATTAAAAAAATATTCTCATTAGAGAACTATGAAATCAGTCACATGAACTGTAAAAATGTAAGTCCTGGTTTTATTTGCTCTGTGACAGAGGGGAAGATGTATGTGTTCATCAAACTAAAAAAAAAAAGAAAGAAAGAAAAATTATGTGTATTTCCATCTTGCTAATAAAGAGATACCTATCATTACCGAATCCAGGCAACCTGGCACTACCCTTCCTGCAAACATTTATCCACACTAGATTTTTTCAATGTGTGACTAAAAGATAAGCTATTTGACTTATAATATGAAGAAGGATGATTAGGCCAGGGTGAGTTTCATAACAAGGAAAAGCCCAGACCTGAAAAATACTTAGTGCCTGTGCTAGGCTGAAAAACACCTCCCCTTCCCCAAAGTCCAGGTCCTAATCCCTGGAAATGTAAATGTTACCCTGTTTGGAATAAGGGTCTTTCCAGATGTAAATTAAGGGTCTTGAGATGGGAGATTATCCTGAATTATCCCGGTGAGTCCTAAGTACAGTCACAAATGCCCTTATATGAGAGAAGTGAGGGAGATGTGACACACACCCTCGGAGGAGGAGGTGATGTGAAGACAGAGGCAGAGACTGGAATGATACAGCCACAAGCCAAGGAATGCCAGCAGTCAGGAGAATCTGGAGAGGCAAGGAACCAATTCTCCCCTTCAGCCTTTGGAGGGATTATGGCACTGCCAATAACTTGATTTCAGCCCAGTGGAACTAATTTCAGGCTCCTGGCCTCCAGAACTGTGAGAGAATAAATTTCTGTTGCTTTAAGCAGCCAGGTTTGTGGTAATTTGTTACAGTAGTCACAGGAAACTAATACTTGTATAGTTCTCCTGGGTTGTTATCCAGGTCTCAGCTTACTGTCATTTCCTTTCCCTTCCATCTGGCACCTCCAAGAGGTTTCCAAAAACATCCTAACATTTACTGAGTATTTCCTTTGCCAGGCACTATAAGAAATACTTTACATGCAACAGCTCACTGAGTCTTCACTCTCCTATCAGGTAGGTACTAATATTATCCTTATTTTACAGTTGAGAAAAATGAGTCTTGGAGAAAAACTGGTGGGGTCACACTTCTAATAGGTGATGGAGCTAATATTTCAACTCAAGTCTGCTCAAATCTAAAGCCCACACTTTTAACCTCTATGCTATACTACTTCAGTATCTCTAGTTTAAGTCAGGGATTTAATTCTCATATCACCTAATGGCATTTCAGGACCCTCATCTGAGGAATATTTTCAAGAATGGTGGACTAAATGAGACCAAGCTGGCCCCCACTGCAGCTCAAGGACCTGAGCTGCCATTTCCTTCTGTTTTTTTCAACAAAGAGAAGATGGCCAGTCCTAGAATCATAGAAAGCTCAAGTAAGAAGGATCTCAGAGACCCATTTGTTCAAACTCCTTATTTTATAGATGAGGATGTTGCGCCCAGAGAAGTAGAAGGTCTTGCCCAGGGTTACATACACAGGTGTGTATGAATGATAGAACTGTCATTGAAGCCGAGCTCTGACTTCAAATCCAGGGTTGTTTCTACAGCGCATCACATTGACCAAAGTCATGGGGGTTGCTGCGGTCTAGGTGCTTACCAAACTCTGGGAACTTGCAAGAAGGGAAATCGAAAAACGGGACCCAAACCTTCTCAAAGCTAGAGTGCCCCAGGGTCTTCATTCTCACCTGGAACACTCCACAGGGCTGCCGCCATTGAGATGGTCCTGTCCAGGGGACCGGGAGGGGGAAGCTTCTGGGTTGGGATGGAGACTGAAGGAACCATGATGATGTGAACACAACCCAAAGTGGGAGGAGAGAAACGTCATGAATTCATGAATTCCTAGAACTGAAGGGATTCTGGAAACATGAGGAGGGGCAGCTTTGGACGAATAAATGTAAGCAAGTGGTATCTTACACAATAAGCAGGAAACTGGTTTGGGAAACCCAATATCTCTAATATTGGTAAAAGTTGAACATTTTTCATCTATCTTTACATACGAGTATGTCCACTCAACAAAAATATTGAGTCCCTACTTGTCCCTGCTCTCATGCTTAATAAGCTGGTGGAAAAAAAAAAAGATAATAAAGTGCCCCATACAGTCTTGTTAGACAATAGTGCTCAATAAACACTAACTGTTATTATTAAAACATTAATCAATAATAGTAGCAATAATAGCCACTGTCCTTAAGACACGTTGACCTCTGCTTCGGAGACTATATATCCCAAGACGCACTTTGCCTAGGTTTCGCTACCCATTGCATTCTGGGGATTGTAGTCCGGAAGTGAGTGACTGATTTCTTAAAGCGCAGGCGCAGTGGCTCAGATACCCGGAAGAACCCGCAGCAGCTCGCAGGATGAGCGGGTGTCCCTGGCTGCTGCTGCGGCGGTGGCGCTGACAGGACAAGAGCTCTATGCCTTTCCGGCTGCTCATCTCACTTGGACTCCTGTGCGCGCTGCTACCCCTGCACCATGGTGCGCCAGGCCCCGACGGCACCGCGCCCGACCCCGCTCACTACAGGTGAAGGGGGCCAGGCTCCCGCCCTTCCGTAATTGGGGAATGGGAAGCGCGGACCGGGTCCCTTCCCTTTCCCTCCATGCCAGGACCCCCACCCTGACTTGCTGGGACCCCACCGACGGGCCCCCGGCAGAAACCAGCTGGTGATTCCCACTTTCCGCCCTATTTCTTGTTCTTTTCTCCGCTTGGTTTTGTGTTCTGACCCCTGCCTTATTTCTCGTCCCCCTCCAGGGAGCGAGTGAAGGCCATGTTCTATCACGCCTACGACAGCTATCTGGAGAATGCCCTTCCCTTCGACGAGCTTCGACCTCTCACCTGTGACGGGCACGACACCTGGGGCAGGTAAAGCGAGTGGAGGGGCAAGGTGTCTGGCGATCCGGTCCTAGGCCGCGGGGGTGTGTGTGTGCGGCGGGGGCTGGTGGCTTCACGATCTCTCACCGGGCCTGGGCCGCGCTCCCCCAATTCTTGCCTTCATCTCCAGAGTGCACTCAGCCTCTTGCAGTGAAACAAAGTGCAAGACTAGCCTGGTGAGCTGGACTTCTGGGATCAGTCCTGGCAATAAAAGACACCAGCTTTGAGGACTTGAACACATTTCTGGACCCATAAGATATCGTGGAAGGGCTCCAACAGTCAGAAAACCTAAGCCCCCCCTTTTTTTATAGGCAGGCTAACAGTCCAGGAGGGGGTGTGACTCTCCCGAAACTTAAGAGCCTCTGTAATCGATGTTCCCTGTGAATGAAACACACTTTCCCCATCATCCTCATGTCCCTCACTGCTTCTTGTCTTTCATATCTCAGCTCAATATGTCACCCCCTCTGCATCAGCTCCTTTAACCACCCACCCCCTTTAAGTCACTCTCATAAGTCACCTGTTTTGTTTTCTTTATAGCACTTCTCACTCTCTGATGCTATAATTTTCACTTCTCTACTGGTTTGTCTTTCTCATTTTCATTAGAATAAAAATCTATGAGAGCTGGATTTCTCTGTCTTCTTCCTTGCTAAGTGAAGAATCATTGCATTAGCTAAAGCTGGCATTGATTGAACACTGTGCTAAGCATTTTACTGTGTCATCTCATTTAATTCTCTTAACACCCCTAGGAGTTAGGTGCCATTATCCCTGTTTTACAAATGAGTATGTTAAGGACTTAGAACTTGTGCTAATTTTTGTTTTTTAGTTGGAAAAAGAGGAAATACAAACAAATGGCAAATTTAAGCAGTACAAAATCATATACAATAAAGTAAATATCCCCCATATCCTAGAACTCCAACCACTGTTAACTTTCCTGTGTGTCTTTCCAGAAATATTGTTGCTTTATACCATTATATAGGTGTGTATATGTGTATCTTTTTAAAATTAACTTTGTAAAAGTATAATTTACATAAAATACACCCATTTTAAGTGTATAGTAACCACGATCATCAAGATATAGAACACTTCTGTCACCCTAAAAAGTGTCCTTCTGTCCCCTTATAGTTAATTCCTCCACCACCACTGACCCTAACAATTGCTAATCCGCTTTCTATCAGATTGTCTCTTTTTGAAATGCAGATTGTAACATACTATACTGCCTGTCCTGTACCTTGTGCTTTTCACTTAACATATTTGAATATCTTTCCATTGGCACATAGAATCCTTGATAATGATCTTTTGGATAACTTCATAGTTTTGCACTGTTGTATCACAGTTTGGTTAATCCCTCTTCAACTGGTGGACCTTTGGGTTCTTTCTAGCCTTTTGCTGTTCTAAGCAATACTGCCATGAGTGTTCTCAAAGAACTCTGTGCACTGTGAGATGAATTCCTAGATGTGGAATTGCTGAAAAGCCTGTGCTCTTAGCTACAATGTTATACTGCCTCCCTAAGGCAGAGCAGGATGCCAGAGAATATAGGGGATGTGTTTAATTACAATTGAGCAAGGTCAGCGCACCCTCCCAGTTGCGTTAAGTGGGTCAGAGAATCCCATTGACTTTCACCGTTGCTTCACTGTTGTGACTAAGTGGGATGGGCAGAGGCGTCACTGTGCCTCACTTAGTTTTGGGGGGATCTGATCTGGGGCAGCCATATTACCTGGTGTTTGATTTTTTTTGCTAAGCAGCTGTGATTTCTTGTCCTTCTACAGTTTTTCTCTGACTCTAATTGATGCTCTGGACACCTTGCTGGTAAGTATCTCATCTGTTCCTTTTCCTCTCCACCATTGCATAACCAACATCCTTCCTCTTTTGGCAGTTTGACTGTGAGTGAAAAATGAATTCCTCTCCTAGGCCTTTTATTTTCATCTCATGATTCTAAGCCATCAGGGTCTAGTTGCCCAGCTATATAGGGGAAAACAATGAATTCCAACTTATTCAGGTTTACTTAGCAAACATTTATAGAGGACCTGTTATATACAGGAATGTATGTACACACACACACACACACACACATACATATACACACCCCGTTATGTATGTACAAGCCTGTGATAGGCTTGTATAACTCTGTGGGGGATACAGAAACTTTGATGTCCTCCCTGTTTTCAGAAGCTTACATTCTAGTGGCGTACAGGAATGTATGTACACACACACACACACACACATACATATACACACCCCGTTATGTATGTACAAGCCTGTGATAGGCTTGTATAAGTCTGTGGGGGATACAGAAACTTTGATGTCCTCCCTGTTTTCAGAAGCTTACATTCTAGTGGCCATGTTTGATGATAAAATAATAATAGTAACTAGTTAGTGTGTCACGTGTAGGGCATGTGCTGAGCACTTTATTTGTGTTATCTTGTTTAATCCTTCCAAGAACCTCATGACTCTTAACAGCAGAGAAATCTGATGCTTAGACAGGTAAAATGACTTGGGCAGGGTACACAGCTATTAAAAAGCAGGACTAAGACTTGAACTTAATTCTGTATGACTCCAAGTCTTGACCATCACCCTTAAAAAAGTCCACAAGAAAGGATTTAACAACTTTCCCCCTATTTCACTATTTCTAGTTCTATCAGTTCTTCTCAGTTTTATGTACTAGTAGTATTTACATGGTTATGATCACTATGTAGATATAATTTAACTTTTTTTTTTGCTTAATGTTAACTCATGTGTACTTGTCCATTCATCTAATATTTATTAAGGGCCAACTGTGTGCCAAGCATGGTGTTAAGCTCTAGATTTATAATGGTGAGTTTAAATGCACATGGTCCCTGCTTTCCTAGAGTTTGTTTTAGTCATGGAGACAAAGAATCAATGAATAACTCTAAAGACTGTATAATTACAAGTTGAGGAAAGGAACACAGTTCTGTGAGTGGTTGTAAAAAAGGAGGCTGACCTAGACTGAGTAGGTTTGGGAGGACTTCCCCAAGGGAGTAAAATGGCACTTGAGTTGAAATCTGGAGGAGAAGTAGGTACAGACTAGGAGAGTTGGGGAGAAGAATGTAGCAGGTAGAGGCCTTGTGGCAGGAGAGAGCATGGCAAGTGCAGTGGATTGAAGGGAGGCCAGTACAGCTGGGGTATGGAGGAGGAAAAGGAGGAAGTAAAGTGAGGCTGGAGGGATAGACGGGGACCAGATGATACAGATTTTGTTCACTAAAGAACAAGATTTTGCTATTTAATTTGAGAGCAATGGAAAGCTACTGAATTTTCTTAAGTAAAGGGCAGGGAATGATGAGATTTCTGTTTTGAGATCACTGGCTGCAGTGTGGAGAAAGAATCATGTAAACATTCAATGAACATTTGTTGAGTAATTTCATGGACTGTGCGTGGCACTCTGGGGAAATGCAGAAATGAGTGAGGCTCCCGGCCATACAAAGATTCTGTCATTGTGGAAAGAAATAGAGGCCCTGAGAGTTGTGTGGATAAAGTTCCTGTGGACTTTAAAGAAGAGGTTTGTCTTAGTCCACTTTCTGTTGCTTTAACTGAATACCTGAGACTGGGTAATTTATAAAAAAAAAAGAAATTTATTTCTTGTAGTTCTGGAGGCTGGGAAGTCCAAGGCCTAGTGGTTGCATCCGGTGAGGGTCTTCTTGCTGGTGGGGACTCTCTGCAGAGTCCTGAGGTGGCACAGGACATCACATGGTGAGGGGGCTCAGGAGAGATAGCCAAACTGGTTTTTATAATAGATCCAGTCTTGAAGTAACTAACCCTCTCACTTGATAACCCATTAATCTATAAATTTATCCCCGTCACCTCCCAAAGTTTCCACCTCTCAACACTCCTGCACTGGGGACCAAGTTACCAACATGCGAACTTTTGGGGACACATTCAAACCATAGCAGGGCTAAAGCAGGAGTCAAATGCTTTCTAGAGAAGGTAACATTTAGAAAATTTCAGGTAGATTGGATTTGGAAATGGAAAGACACAGGAGAGAGTGATTTCTGGCAGAGGGAACAGCATGTCTGAAGGCAGGAAATTGAGGAATAGTTAGTACAGTTTCACTGAAGTAGATAAAGGTAGGTTAGATGAAGATGAACAGTGAGAAATATGATCAGAAAGGTAGGTTGAGTCCAAATAATAGAGGGGCTTGAGTGCTAGGGTAGTCAGGATTATTTTGGTTGCAAGTGATGGAGACTCAATTCATGGAGACCCAATTCAAACTGATTTAGACAAAAAGGAAACTTACCGGGCCGACCCCGTGGAGCACTTGGGAGAGTGCGGTGCTGGGAGCGCAGCGACGCTCCCACCACGGGTTGGGATCCTATATAGGAATGGCCAGTGTGCTCACTGGCTGAGCGCGGTGCGGGCGACACCACACCAAGGGTTGCGATCCCCTTACCGGTCATGAAAAAGACAAAAAGAAAAAAGGAAACTTACCAAATCGAGTAACTAAAAAGTCTAGATCAAGGGTGGCCTCAGACCCAACTGGATCCAGACATTCGAACAATGTCATCAGGAGTCTCTTTCTCCATTTCTTATCTCTGCCTTCTTTGCTGGCTGTGTTCTTGGGCTCTCCATAAGCTGGCAGGGTAGCCAGCAAGAGCTCCAGATTTACATCCCAATCATTTAGTAACCTATGTGCAGAACGAATCACCCCCTTTCCATTAATTCCAGGGACTGAGTCTTTGTTGATCTGGTTTGGGGTCACACACCTATCCCTGAATCGATCACTTGGCCAAGAGATATGGTACTCTGGCTGGTACAGGTCAAGTGCCCACTGCAGGCTGGGGAGATGGGATCATCCTCTCTCAAACCATAGGAATGGCTATGGGAGAAGGGTGATTCCTCAAGGCAAAATTGGGTGACATTATCAGAAGAAAATGTATTAAGTTTGCACTTGGCTGATGGTTTAAATGAAGAGGGTTTATTTTCTCAAGTAAAAGAAAATCTGGAGGTAATTTCTGGCATTGGATCAACTGCTCAATTGTGCCATCAGAGACCCAGGCTCTTTGTAGCTTTCCATTCTGTTGTCATTAGTGTATTAGCTTTCATTCTCTTGCTTAGTACCTCGTGGTCTAACATGGCTGCCACAGCTTCACAAATCATGTCTGCTTCCAAGGTTGAAAGACAGAGGGAGAGAAAAAGCCATGGCAGCTGTGTCTGTCCTTTTTAATTAGGAAAACAGAAGCTTTTCCAGAAGTTCCCCCAGTGGACTTCTCAAGAGTCAGAATTGACTAGGTAACATCATCACCTCTAGCAGCAAAAGAGGCTGAGAAGGCAGCATCTGAATTTCCAGCCTCTGTGGTGGTAGCCCACAGGGGTAAAGTAAGTTAGGAATAAGCGTAGGGCCAACCAACTGTTGTTTTCCATAAGGTCGAATGTGCCAAGAGAGGGTTAAAAACAACTGATATCAACTGCAAATGTCAAACCAAGACTTCCCTATGTAGTCTACACTTTTTATAGTGTGTCCATTTAAATGAGTACATGATGACTCTTGAATTGGTACCTAAGAATTTACTTAACCAGTCTCTTGATATTGGGTTTCTGAGTGATTTCTAGCTCTCAGTGTTTTCTTCTCCTGTCACCAGTCCTAGGACAGCAACGTGAGGTCTTAAGTTAGGGCCACACCAGCATAGGATTCCAAACTCTCAATCCATCCTCTTCAGTTCCTCCATGTCTGAGGGAGCCTCATTGTCAGGTTTCTCTTTCCTTCCAGATTTTGGGGAATGTCTCAGAATTCCAAAGAGTGGTTGAAGTGCTCCAGGACAATGTGGACTTTGATATTGATGTGAATGCCTCCGTGTTTGAAACCAACATTAGAGGTGAGGGCTGTCTTCTAGGGCCTTTGGGAGAGAAGAGAGTGTGGAGTTGCCTCTGTGTAAACCAAGAGGTGGTTTATAGGAGCTTAAGGGCCAACGCTGTCAGGGTACTTGATCAAAATCAGTGACTGACAGAGCTCCTCTTCCCTCCTGGAGGATGGGGTGGTGAGTGAGATCTTGGGATTCCCGGTCAGTTTCAGGCATAAAAGCGAGCAGGGGACAGAGAAAAGACTGGAAAGAAGTATGTGAGAGTTACTCACATATTTACCATATATTTGGTGCTAGGCATATGGCTATGAACAAGAAAGACGTAATCCTTACCGTCTTGGAGTTTATTGTCTGTCCAATAGAACTTTCCGCAATGATGGAAATATTTTCATCTGTGTTGTTTAATATGGTAGCCACTAACCACATGGGCTATTGAGCATTTGAAATGTATCTATGGCAGGTGAGGAACTGAATTTTTAATTTCATTTAATCTTAGTAAATTTAAATAGTCACATGGTTAGTGATTACTGGACAGTGCAAGTCTATGGCATTAAGTTGCCAAACCTGCCTGTCCATAAGAACCACCTGAGACTTTTGAAAAAGTTCAAATGTGACCAAGGTGCAGGGTTTGATCCCTGTTACTGGCCGGCCACCAAAAAAGAAAATAAATGAATAAGTAAATAATAAAAAGTTCAAATGTGACCAAGGTGCAGGGTTTGATCCCTGTTACTGGCCGGCCACCAAAANTTACCGTCTTGGAGTTTATTGTCTGTCCAATAGAACTTTCCGCAATGATGGAAATATTTTCATCTGTGTTGTTTAATATGGTAGCCACTAACCACATGGGCTATTGAGCATTTGAAATGTATCTATGGCAGGTGAGGAACTGAATTTTTAATTTCATTTAATCTTAGTAAATTTAAATAGTCACATGGTTAGTGATTACTGGACAGTGCAAGTCTATGGCATTAAGTTGCCAAACCTGCCTGTCCATAAGAACCACCTGAGACTTTTGAAAAAGTTCAAATGTGACCAAGGTGCAGGGTTTGATCCCTGTTACTGGCCGGCCACCAAAAAAGAAAATAAATGAATAAGTAAATAATAAAAAGTTCAAATGTCCAGGCTCTACCCTAAACCTAATAAATTGTGATCTCTGGGTTGGGTCCTAGAATCAATATTTTTAGCAGACTTCTGATGATTCTTGTGGAGCTACCACAGCCTTTATTTGCAGTGAATTTCTAGACCACTGCTTAGCAGCTGTCACTTCTGGATGGCAGTTATGTTTTCCCCCCTTATTTTGTATGTTTTCTGCAATGAAACTTTTGTCCTAGATATATGATACATAAAAGTTTAAAAAAGAGAGGAGAGCAGAGGGACAGCATGGTATAAAATCCTGGGTTAGGAATCAGACCTGAGTTTGAGGCTGTGCTTATCGCTGAGTATCACAACTTCTGAGCCCGATTTGTTGTCTGTAAATGAAAGTCATACTTATACCTTTGTTTCCGATATGAAATAATTACACAAGCTTTCTTTTAGTTAATATTTTCCCAGCGTATCTTTTTCTACCCTTTTGCTTTCAGTCTTTCTATAGTTTTATGATTATAAATGTATTGTATATATTGATTTTTCCCCTCATCCCATTTTCCTTTTCTTAACTTAGAAATTATACACAGTATCTAGCTTTTAAAACAGTTTTTCTAGCAAATTTAACAAACGTAACTTTCCAAAGTCTAGAGTTAATGAAAATCTTTATTCTCCTCTTGAATAGTACAAAACTTGGCTCTGAGGACATCCCGATCTTTATGCAATAGTAATATATTTTAGTTCTTTGATTTGAACCCTTCCTACATTATTGTTGTTCTATGCAGTGAATTTTTAGATTTACTTATATATTTACCTCTTTTATGGTTATCTTTTGTTCTTATGTCTCAGACCTTACATCTGTGATCTCTTACCTTCTCTCTGAAGGAGAGAAGGAAACCCTTTAGGGTTTCCTTTAGCTCAGGTTTGTTCCTGGCAGACTTTCTCAGCTTTTGTCTATATGAAAATGTCTTTATCTCACTGCCTTTGTTTGGCCTGTGGGGGGATATCTTTGCTGGGCATATGGTTCTAGGTTGATAGTTATTTTCTCTTAGTACACTGAAAATTTTTTTCCATTGTTTTCTGGTTTCATTGTTGTTAAGAAGTGATCTGTCAGTCTAATTGTTGTTTCTTTGTAAATAATCTGTAGTTTTTTGTTTTCACTCTGGATGCTCCTGCCTTTTAAAAACTTTTTATTATGAAAATTTTCAAACAAACATAACAAACATAAAAGTAGAGAGAGTAGTATAATGAGCTAGATGTACCTATCATCCGGCTTTAACGATCATTATTACATTGACTGGCTGCTTTTGAGATTTTTTTCCTTTTGGTGTTCTGGAGTTTTACTATGATGTGAAAAAATATGGATTTCTTTTTATTATCTTGCTTGGGATTCTTGGGTCTGAGATTTGGAATCTTTCCTTAGTTTGAGAAAGTTTTTCACTATTTCTCTCTGAATATCACCTCTTGCCCATTTTCTCCCTCTTCTCTTTTTAGAACTCCAACTATATATATTTTACACCTTCTCACTGTATTATCCAAATCTCCTTACAAACATTTTGTCTCTTGATGTTGTATTTTAAATGATTATTTTAAAACATTTTTTAAGAAACATTTTGTCCCTTTATGTTACATTTTGGATAATTTTTTTTATCTTCAAGTCCACTAATTCTCTCTTCAACTATATCTTATCTGCTATTAAACCTATCCATGTAATTTTAAATTTTTATTATTATAGTTTTCATTTTTAGAAATATTGTTTGGTTCTTTTATAAATATGCTTGATCATTTTTATAATTTCTTACTACAGCTTGAGCATCCCAGGTCCAAAAATTTGAAATCTGAAATGCTCCAAAATTCCAAACTTTTTGAGCACTGACATGATGCTCAAAGGAAATGCTCATTGGAGCATTTTGGATTTCAGATTTTCAGATTTAGGATGTTCAACCGGTCAGTATAATGCAAATATTCCAAAATTCGAAAAAAATTGAAATCGGAAACACTTCTGTTTCAAAGCATTTCAGGTAAGGGATACTCAACTTGTATTTTCATCTGAAGAGTGGGCAGTTGTACCCAGTCCTTGGTACACAGTCGGGACCAAAAAACCAAAATAGCCATTGTGCTTATGACCAACCAAGAGAAAAAAACTTTGTAAACTTAACACTATGAATATGTTGGATTAAGACACTCTTCTTTCACTAGAAAGAGAGTGGGGGTTTTTTGTTGTTTTGTTTTGTTTTGCTTTTTGTGGCTATCTGTTAAGAGGACCCAAACCCATGACCTTGAGGTTATAAGGCTGTTTTCTAAAAAACTGAGCTAACCAGCCAGCCCCCAACAGAGTTTTTAGGTTTAATTTGCACAAGGGAAAGACTGGAGGCCATGGGACTATGACACTTGCTTTTTGTACCATCTGTAGTGGTGGGAGGACTCCTGTCTGCTCATCTGCTCTCAAAGAAGGCCGGGATAAAAGTGGAGGCTGGATGGCCCTGCTCTGGACCTCTCCTGAGGATGGCTGAGGAGGCAGCCCGAAAACTCCTCCCAGGTAAGACCCACACAGAGATGGGAGAGAGCTGAGTTCCAGCAGGTCCTGCTTCTTTTGCTGGAGATGAGAGTCACAACACTGAATCATTTCCAGGTGTTTCTCACCCAAACGCTTGGTATTTCTACCCCCATATATCCACCGTGGAAATCAGGAGAGTCCTGGGCATTCTAAGGGTTTGTGNAGGACCCAAACCCATGACCTTGAGGTTATAAGGCTGTTTTCTAAAAAACTGAGCTAACCAGCCAGCCCCCAACAGAGTTTTTAGGTTTAATTTGCACAAGGGAAAGACTGGAGGCCATGGGACTATGACACTTGCTTTTTGTACCATCTGTAGTGGTGGGAGGACTCCTGTCTGCTCATCTGCTCTCAAAGAAGGCCGGGATAAAAGTGGAGGCTGGATGGCCCTGCTCTGGACCTCTCCTGAGGATGGCTGAGGAGGCAGCCCGAAAACTCCTCCCAGGTAAGACCCACACAGAGATGGGAGAGAGCTGAGTTCCAGCAGGTCCTGCTTCTTTTGCTGGAGATGAGAGTCACAACGCTGAATCATTTCCAGGTGTTTCTCACCCAAACGCTTGGTTTCTACCCCCATATATCCACCGTGGAAATCAGGAGAGTCCTGGGCATTCTAAGGGTTTGTGACTGAATCATTTCCAGGTGTTTCTCACCCAAACGCTTGGTATTTCTACCCCCATATATCCACCGTGGAAATCAGGAGAGTCCTGGGCATTCTAAGGGTTTGTGGGGGCCATGGCCTAGGATGGATGAGCTGACTTCTTTACTCTTGCAGAGGTGGGCTGAAGGCCAGCCTGGCAGGTAGAAGGACCTTGCCCATACTTTGTGTCACCCTTCCCAGGCCCACACTGCTGAGATAACAGGCCCTGGCAAGAGCCCTGGTCTGAGCATTAGGAAGCCTGGGTTCTGGACTCAGCTCTGCCTGCCAACAGCTTGACCAAGCCACTCTTCCTCTCCATGGTTCAGTTTCTCTGTCTATCAAATGGGAGTCATAATTCCTGCCTTCCCACCACACTGGGTTTGGGGAGGCTAAAATGAGGTCAGAAAGGGTAAAGTGCTTGGAGAACCTTAAGCACTATTGAAACGAGAGGGATTCGTTTTGTGACTAAGCTGCGTCCAGGGCTGTAGGCCAAGCCTCAGTATTTTTGACTAATGGGGCAGTAACTCTAGGCTCAGCAGCATCATCTGGACACTGTGTTCCCTTCAGGGTGTGGTGGTGGCTGTGAGGGCTGCTCATACCCAAACACGTCACAGTGTGCTTTCCACCAGCCTCTTGGCCATCTCCCTTATTTGTCCCTTTCTGCAGCACTTGCCTCTCATCCTGGGGAGACCAGAGGAGAGAGAGTGAGCTGGGTTCAGGTCTCACTCACAGCTCACGGCCTGAGTGTCTCCTGGAAACATCATGTCCTGTGTGATTCACCCCTAGGAGAAAATGCCTGCTGCTCCTCCTCCTCCTCCTTTTGTGTGTGTGTGTGTCATTTAAGAAATTTTTGCACTGAGAAATACACATGTTGAAAAGCATAGATTGAATAATTATAAAACAAGCACCAGTATATCTATCATTCAGGTCAAGAAGTAGGATTCTGTCACTCCTCTTCTTAATACTGCCTGACTTTTCTGAAATATCCCTTTGAGCCCTTCTTGGTTGTGACACGCTTTCTTCTTGCTTGCCACTCCTGCCTGCCAGAGAGCAAGTTTCTCATCTATAGCAGACAGAATTGCTGAACCCTGTAATTCTTGGAAGTTTTGACAACTTTGTCCATAGTTTAGTGATGTACGGGCTACTCAGGGGTTGTCTGACCTTTTGGCCTGAAGAGGAAATCTCTGCCTCTGGCTGCTTGTCAAGTCCTTGCCTTGAGTCGGAAGGCACTAGGCTGGGGGCAGGCAGGGGGCAGGCAGGGGGCAGGCGTTCTCATCCCAGCTCAGTTTGAATCTCTCTGTGTGACCTTTGGCCGAATCACTTCTTTACAAGCATTATTTCCCTACCTGTAAACTGAGAGTTGAGCTATATCAGTAATTTAGTGGTTTATATCCTACTTTTTTTTCTTTTAAAAATAATTTAGCTCCTAAACACTTTATTTAAAACAGGGATCTCTAATTGGCTCCTCTGGGACTGCTTTCAATCTGCAGATACGTTTCATTTGGTCAGAATGGTGGTTTCAAAAGCCTATGAACAGGCCAATTCGAGTACAGTGGTGCTTACAACTAATTGATCACAACCAGTTGCAGGTTTCTTTGTTCTTCCACTCCCACTGCTTCACTTGACTAGCCTAAAAAATAAAATAAAATAAAAAGCCTATGAATATCTTCTAATGGGGCATGCTCTTGTCAGTGTGCCATAAGCCCCTCTACTCCCTATGGCTTAGACCTTGCCTGCATCACCTGCTGGCCTTGAAGGCATAGTGTAAATAAAATAAATAAAGGTATATAAAGTGGGTATGTGTGGTGTGACAACCTGGAGCACAGCCCACCCGTGTCCCCTCTTTATATGCAGGAGCCCAAGGGTCATGCAGAGCAGTGTGTGACAGCTTCTGGGTTAGGTGGCTTTAGCAGCTCTCAAGTTGTGACATTTATCTGTCTCTTGCTCAGATTCTAGAAGATCATCCAGGAGAAAAAGAAGAAAATGCTGGCTAAGGTCTCAGGCTTTGGGCCTGTATCAGAACTATCCCTACCTACTTGCCCCTGTCTGGGTTCATAATTTTTTGATTGTTCAGCCTTTCAGACCCCCACTGGCATGCCATATGGAACAGTGAACCTGCTTCATGGTGTGAACCCAGGAGAGACCCCTGTCACCTGTACGGCAGGGATTGGAACATTCATCGTGGAATTTGCCACCCTGAGCAGCCTCACTGGTGACCCCGTGTTTGAAGACGTGGCCAGAGTGGCCCTGATGCGCCTGTGGGAGAGCCGGTCAGATATTGGGCTGGTAGGTCGGCTGCCGCCCTTCCTGTTTGGGTCAAGTCTGCCACCTTGGCCCCTGCTTATGGGGCCCAGGGCTCTGAGCAACAAGTTACAACTGAGCCAAAGGAAACTTAGGATGACCTTGGGAGTGGTCCAGGATTTGGGCGTAGGACGCTGAAAACAGACCAATCCCTTAATTCGAGTTTGGCACAGAGGGGTAGAGAGCATAAGAGCACATCTTCTGGCAGGGAACAGGGGCTATGTTAAGCTGTAATCCCTTGACATGCTCTGATTTCTTGGGAAGGGGGTCATATGCTTCATGCCCCTGACTCATTTAGTGACTTTAGGTCATCAGCTTGTCAGGCCCTTATTTTTAGTATCCATCTTTATTTGTAAAACTGTGCTTCTTGGAACACTGGTTCTGAGAGATGCTGAATGTCTGTTCCATGAAAAAATGATTCCTGGCCAGTTACGTTACAGAAATATTACACATAGTATGCTTTTTTTGGAGAGTCACAATGAATATAAACAATAAAAGTTATGAAATCCTATGGTAAAGAAATCTATTTAACTTTGCCTAACAACATTTCCCAAACTTATTTGACCCCAGAGCTTCCCTTTCTCTTTCCTAATACTCCATGGAAATTTAACAAGCTTTGGGCCAGATGGTCTCTAAGGTCTGTTTCAGCTTCTAAATGGAATAATCTAATGAGACTAAGTAATTGAGCCAAAGCTATGCTGGAAACAACACAGATTTAGTCAGAACTAGATACAAGCCCTGGCCATGCTACATTGAAGCTGTGTGACCCTGGGCAAGTCACTCAACCTCTCTGGTCCTCAGTTGCTTCAGCAGCAACTTTAATATATTAATACCTCCTTTGCTGAGTCATTATGACTTATAAAGACTGTTTGAAAGTGATTCAGGTACAGGCACATTTTATGCAAAGTCTGGTGTTAAGTCAGCTTGAAAAGTGAAGCTTGTGTGAGGGATCCTTGAAAATCCCTCAAGATGCCACTCTGGGAACCTATACTTACTTGCTTAGTCAGTCCAACACAGGCGCTTGTGTCTCCTGCATTGGAACTGTAGTAGTCTCTTTGGTGCCCTGTTCATATCTTCTCACCCCTTACCATTTCTGTGCACACTGGCTTGTCTTCCTACTGCCATCACCTGTGGCTTTTTGCCTGTGGGCCTCCTCTGGTGCCTGGAGTCTGCTCTGCTTGCCTTCGGCTAGAAGTACCAGGACTTAATGCTGTCCATAAGTGGTTCTCAACCAGTGACTGATACTGATGGATTTGTGGATAAACATTCCAGTTCCCTGCCCCTTGGGTGGGATCACTCTGAGGCACTTGATCTACACTGAATCCTAAAGTTCCCCAGCAAGATTGAACTTGAACTTGAACTTCAATTCTCACATGGATTGCTTGATCACACCCCTTATGGGCTGCCTTCCCTTCCCTGCCTCACGTACCCCCTCCTCTGCTGGCGTTTCCAGGGACTCACTCTCTAAATCAACTACTTTCAGTATTCTTATTGAGGTCTGCCCCAGGGGGAACCAAAACTAACACAATAGGTAGCTCTTTGACTGAGTACCAGATGAAGTTAGCTTCCAGGAGGGTCTAAGTTGTATGAAAAACACATCTCTTCATTTAAGCCTTTTAAAATTTATTTTTACAAGACTTTACAGTCATGTGGCTTAAAATTCAAAGGATACAAAAAAAAGTACCCGGTGACGTTGGTGAAGTTCCCTCTGACCCCTGTCTTCCAGTTATCCAGTGTCTCCCCTTAGAAGCAACCACTCTATCATTTTCTTGGATGTCCTTCCTGAGTTAATTTACAGAAATACGTAAAAGTATGTCTTGTGTCTTTATTTATTTATTTATTTACTTACTTACTTACTTGTCGCTGGCAAATATGGAGATCCAAACCCTTGACCTTGGTGTTAGCACCACTGCCCTCTAACCAATGAGCTAACCAGCCAGCCCTCTTGTGTCTTTAGACTCTGGAATCACATGCCAAGTGCTGAGACAGATTGTGGGAATGGAGGGTTCTCATCTCTCACCTCACACTCACTGTACGCATTGCCTAAGCACTCCAAATCACTTTTCCTTTTCTTTTTTTGCCAATACATATAATTAAGTCCTCATAAATGTGCGTGAGACGCATCTCCACTGTATAGATGTGCAAGAAGGTGGGCCACGATCCAGCCTTGCTCCCTCCCTCCCATAGCCTGCATGTCTCCCAAGAAGCACTGGGGTGCCTGCCTTGCATCCCACTGGGCAGTTAGGAGGGTGGGTAGATCCTTCTTTGGCCTTGGGCCCTCCCTTGAGATCACATACCTCTCCTAGGTCGGCAACCACATCGATGTGCTCACTGGCAAGTGGGTGGCCCAGGACGCAGGCATCGGTGCTGGGGTAGACTCCTACTTTGAGTACCTGGTGAAAGGAGCCATCCTACTTCAGGATAAGAAGCTCATGGCCATGTTCCTAGGTAAAAGGGCAGGGTAAGAGGGCTTTCCCCATAATTTTTCCTATTGATGAGTGGTTTGTTCATAAACTTCTGGTTGCTCCCCAAGTGCCTACAGAATCATTCTGAATACCTCAGTCTGTATTCCAAGCCACTGTGAACCTGCACTGCCCACTTGATGCCACTATACCTCTTCTTGCCTATTTTCAAGACCCAACTGACCCATGCTGCATTCTCTATACTGGCCCTGGATTTCTTATCTCCTGGCCATTGCACATGGTGTTTCCTTTGCCTAGAATAACTTTTTTCCTGTTTTCCTGTTCTATTCACCCTTCAAAACCTAGCTCAAATGTCACCTTGCCCAGGAAGTAGCTTGATCCTTCCTCAGAATATAGGGCCTTCAACATCTTTCTTGCAGTCAGCTGACATCAACAGTTACAGCTCTACCAACTGAGTACAGAATCCACACCTAATTCATCTTTATATTTCCCACAATGCTTTGCATGATGTAGGTAATACATTAGTGCATGATGAATATGTACATTTTACCCTCCAGGCCCTTAGACTCTAGTAATAATAATATTGAGGAATCATTGAGCACCTAATAATTATTATTATAGCTACTACTCATTTATTTAGCAAATATTTATTGAGTACCGTTGATGTGTCAAGCACTATACCAGGCTCTGAACATGGACTGTTTCATTTAATTCTTACCACACTATTTGAGATTATTTTATTTATTTGCATGTATATTTGGTACTTTGTTCATTCAGATAATAAATATTATACACTGTCCTAGTGTTGGAGATTCTGCAGTAACCAAGATAAAATGCCAGTGCTCATGGATTTACAACCTAGGGGAGAGGTAAAAGTTCAAGTTCCCACTAGAATGTGAGCTCTATGAGGGCTGGACTTTTGTTTACCACCTCCTGGGTGCCTGGCACCTAGTAGGTGCTCAGTGAATATTAGTTGAGTGAATAAATAACTGAACAATCCCAGGAGGTGCATAACACTACTTTCCCCATTTTACAGATAATAGGACTGAGACTTAAAAGGGGAAAACTTGCCCAAGGTCACAGCTAGCAAGTGGTAAAGCCAGAGCTGGAATTTGAGCCTCCAGTTTGACTCCAGAAGCCATGTTGCTTTCTAGTCTGCTTGCCTCATTGCATCCTAGTCTGCTTTGAGGCTAGACCATCATTTGATCCTTCAAAAGTGTAAGTCCAAGCTCCCGCTGTAAAGACCTGCCTTTTGTCTCCCTAATCACTCATGTGTCTGTTATCCCATCTCTCCCACTGCAGAGTATAACAAAGCCATTCGGAATTACACCCGCTTTGATGACTGGTACCTGTGGGTGCAGATGTACAAGGGGACTGTGTCCATGCCTGTCTTCCAATCCTTGGAGGCCTACTGGCCTGGTCTTCAGGTAGGAATGATCAAAGAGGTTGGTCACTTTTCTGTGGAACTGGCAAAACAAACTCATTCTGTTGTATAAATCAAATAAGGCACTTCAGTTGCTTGAGTATATTTTTTGGAGGGACGGGTTGGGGATAGAAGAGAGACCTGGAGTGAATTAGACAGATGTAAGATTTCTGCCAAACTGAGTTTTCCAAGGGAAGCTTTAAGGTGTCAGGAACTGAGCTTCCAGTTTGCCATGGAACATTGTACTATTTAAAATAAAGTAGACAGTGTCTTTCCAGGCTGGGCAGACAGCCATTGGCAATAGCTGTTTCTCCACTGGGCATTTCTGTCAAATCTCATTCTTGACAGTGGGCCTTAGAAGGGGCAGGAAGGCAGCTCTTGCTGCTCTGCCCACCATCCTTGTTTTTTTCCATTACACGGTCTGATGGAGTTGCAGCAGGAAGGGATCTCTACAATCGAATCTACCCCCCTAGGTGTTCCAAAATATTTCACACACCAAAATGTTTGTGTAATTTTTTTTTTTAATTTTAAGAAAAGGTAATAACATGTAGGTGGTTTTAAATTTAAAAGCCCAGAAGGGAATATAATAATGAATGGTAAGTCCTGAGCCCCCACCCTTGGGCCCTCTCCCCAGGCCCATCCCTAATACCAGTTTTCTGTATATCCTTCCTGAAATCCATATACATAAACATATATATATATATGTATATCCCCCTTTTTTCTGCTCATAGATAGGGACATATTCTATTCTTTGGCACCTTTTCTTCACTGAATGTTATCTTGTAGATCATTCGTTATTGATGCATGTAGATCAGTTTTACTTTTTTTTTAACAGCTGCATATATTGCATTGAATAAATGTAGTGCAATTTATTTAACTAGTTAGTTAATAAACTAGTTAATTTAGCCAATCCTCTTATTTTACAGATGGGGGGAAAGGCTCACAGTGAATCTGTTGAGAGTATTAAATATTGCCGCAGCTCTTTTAAGATCTTCAAATTTTATTGCTTGAGCGTCCCCCTAAAAGAACATTGAAAAAATATGGAGCCCTTTGGATGCTTTTAACGTTGAGTTTATTTTATTTATTTATTTATTTATTTTTTAAAGATGAACATTAAGAGTTTAAATAGTTACATACCATCCCTTTTTCTCCTTGAACTCATATTTGTAGTATCCTCCCCCAACAGAGTTTTATCCTAGTTATTATATTTTATGCTGAAAGCATTTACAGAGATGCATCACCCTATCATACATCTATGTAACAAAATTTGTATATACATAGAAATTTAAAATGTTTAAATATTTCCTATGATCATAGGCTTAGAGTATTAAATTTGTTTTCTTCTGGATTTAGTTTTTTATTAAATGTATTATTATGTAATTGATTAAAGTAACATTAATAGCTTATAATTTTTGCTAAATAATTCTAAAGCCTAAAAGCAATTTTATTGGAAATGCATTTCTTAGTGAGCTTTTGGGGGCTTTTTTGTTTCTAATTAGTTAATGTGTTGCGTGTGAATACTACTTACTACTGAAATGGAGCATGGGTCAATATCTTTTATTTCTGCTTTTCACTTTTTTAGATATAAGTGCCAAGGAGCCTTATGCACATAAATAAGTAGATGGAAATGGAGAGAATTTGATTATTGTGATATCATTCAGTTCTTTGAAATCATTTAGTTAATATATTAAACCATAAATGAGGGTACTTCAAAAAGTTCATGGACAGATTTGCATCATCTTTCAATTCTATTTTTCTGTGAAATTTTGAAGTATCCTTGTAAAATTGCCAGCATTCAACCACTTTTGACCTACAAAAATAGCAATATCATATGATTCAGCCTTTATATATATAAGAGGCTAAGACAGAGAATATTGGATAGGAATCTACTCTAGACAGGGTGTTCAGGGGAGGCCTCTCAGAGGTGGTGATACTTAAGCTTATACTTGAAGGGTAAAGACTTGGGGGTGGAGGAACAACGTTCCAGACAGAGGGAGCATCATGTGTGAAGGTCCTGAGGCAGGAAAGAGTTGGGTGTTTATCAGAAACAATGAAAAGCAGTATGGCCATGCCACAGTCCAGGGAAGGGAAAGCTCAACTGATGGAAGGTCAGCAGAGACCAGATTGTGCAGGGCCCAGAGGGCCCTGGTGAAGTGTCTTGATTCTACATTGAGCCCGTGGGAAGCCACTGAGGTCTGGCATATGTAGTAAGATGGTTATTCAGGCTGCCTTGGGAGACTGGAGTGGAAAATGGTGAGACCAGCAAGGAAGCCTTTGAGGTCATCCCAGTGTGAAATGCTGGTGACCAGGAGATGGAATTAGCAGGAGTAGCTGATGGAAAGGGTGTGGAGATGCGAGAGAAGGGAGGAGTCAAGAATGACCACCAGGCTTCTGGCCAGAGTAACTGGGTGGACAGTGGTGACATTTACTGAGAAGGGAGAGAGGCGAGAGTAGGAGGCAACTTTGTGGGAAAATGAGGGAACCAAGAAGTTTGTTTGGGAAATGTCAAGTTTGTTCTACCCATGACATATCTAATGGACATGTCAAGGTCAGCTGTTTCCCTGTGAGTTTATATTAATAGTAATGGCTACTTAGCAACAGCCAGTAAAATTAGAAATACATATATCCTCTGACCCAGCAATCCTAGTTATGGAAATTTATCTACAGATACACTTTGCATATGTTTGATGTGACATATATACAGGGTTATTTATTGCAGCATTGATTGTTGGAACCAAGTCAAATACCTATTCATAGGGAACTGATTAAATTATGGTCAGAGCAATGGAATGCTACGTAACTGTATAAGTAGAGGAGAGAGTTCTCTCTGCATTCATATGGAAAAATCAGGATATATTGTTAAACGAATAAAGGAAAATGCAGATAGTGTATTTGATAGGCTATTTTAAGTGGGGGAGAATAGCATTCACTCATTTTTGCCTATGTTTGCATAAAGAAACTCTGGAAGTTTACACAAGAAACTAATAAAAATGGTTGTTGGGGGTGTGGGGTGGGAATGAGACTTAGCACAGTCAACTTTTTCCCTATTCTTAAAATTTTGAAACAGATGGCCGAAACTAAAAAAATGTTAGTAACTAAGAATGACTTTGAAGGTCCAGGGACTTAATGTATAATCTCTGTTCCTTCCAGCAATGTGTGAGATAGGTGTTGTACTTTAAATCTCATAGATGAGGCTCAGAGAAGTTAAGTGGCTGGCGTGGGCCACACAGTGAATAAACGGCTGACTCAGGATTTGATTGAAGGCCTTTTGGCTCTAAAGGCTTTGCTTTGTCTTTTCCCTGAGGTTGTATGTGGGGTTTTGTCTGTGGGTTTTATGCTTAGTGTCTGCCTGCCTGACAGCCACTTCT